ATATCATGTTTGGTAAGGTGGAGGGTCAGAGAAAAAGAGGAAGACCCCCAATGAGATGGATTAGCCAAGTGGCAGCATCGATGGACTCAAGTGTGACAACAATAGTGAGGTTGGCCCAGGATTGGGCAGTGTTTTGTTCTGCTGTGCATAAGGTCGCTATGAGTCGGTACCGACTTGATGGCACCTAACAACAACAACAATATGTGTTACTTTCATCCTCACTCATTCTCCCGCAAGCCCTCCAAAATGGTGAGAGAGAATACATTTCTGCTCTTTAAAGCCACCTACTTTGTCATGTTTTGCCACCCCAGTCCTAAGAAACTGAACATACCTCATTGCTTAGAACACTTCAGTGACCTTTCTACTATTCTTAGGAAACAGAATAAAGCCCCTAAGGTGGACTCCAAAGCCCATATGATCTGTACCACTCCCCCTACCCGTGTTCCCCCCCATTCCGGGGCTCAGGCCACACTACCTTGCTCTCAGATCTTTGAAGGAGCACATCCCTTTCTGTCACTGGGCCTTTGCACATGCTAATCCCTCAGCCTCTGTCAAATTTCCTCCTTCTAACCTTCCTTCACCTAATTGGTGTTCACTCATTCCCAGGAAAGCCTTTCCTGACTTGGATCAATGTTGTTGTTGATGTTAAGCAGTGTGGAGTCAGTTCCGACTCATAGCGACCCTGCACAGGGTTTCCGAGGCTGTGAATCTTTATGGAAGCAGAAAGCCTCATCTTTCTCCCACGGAACTTCTGGTAGTTTCAAACTGCTGACCCTGAGGTTGTAAGCCCAACTCGTAACCACAACGCTACCAGAGCTCCTTGACTAGATCAATACCTCCAGTTAAATGCTCTCAAAGCACCACATCTTTCAATATTTATTATAATTTTACTTACAAGCTGCTTTAATTTTTGTCTCCTCCATGATGCAAAAAGCTGTAACTTTTTTTTTTCCCATCCTTAATTTCCTAGACCATTGCTGGCAGTTAATAAATATTTGCTGAATAAATGCAGGATGAAGCACACATACGCATTCAGATTTGACTGGCAGGTGAGCCTTTGTAATGCCCCACACTGAGTTCTCTTTATTGATGTGGTTTGACCAAAAAGCTTAATTTCATTTCCAAATGTTTCCTGGGAGTAGTCCACCCGTGGAAATCGAAACTCAGTGATATTCTTGCCGGCTGATAGAAAACTTGAAAAATCTACATTGAGGTTGAGGGCAAAGGTTGCCTCAATTGCTATTTTATAGAACAGAATTAATTGCATAAAAATCTTTAGGTGACCTTTTCTCTTTTTGATTTCTTATAATTTCATATTCATTTCCAAAATGCTGTGCTGTTGCGGTTCCTGCATCCCACTGAGCCAATTCCTACTCATTGTGACCCCATGTGACAGAGCAGAACTGTCTGTCCCATATGGTCTTCTTGGCTGTAACTCTTCACAGAAGTAGTTCGCCAGATCTTTCTCCTGCAGAGCCACTGGGTGGGTTAGGACTGCCATCCTCTTGGCTTGCAGTCCAGTGCTTAATTGTTTGCACTGCCAAGGGTCCTTCAAAAATGCTATGCTGTTGTTGCTGGTAAGTGCCACTGAATTGGTTCTGTGTCATACAGACGCCCTGCCCTGTATAGGGTTTCCAAGGCTTTTCATAAACTATCCAAATTATCAAATATAAGGTGCTTTTCCTTAAGTTTCATTCTTTAAAAAGGATTCTTGAAATTTTTGGAAAATGTGCATTCAGATGTTTAGACACAATTAAAGGGTGAATATTTGTACTAAATCAGATTAAATGGGTCATTTAAATTCTCTATAAAAACAAAGGCAAATGCAGGCACCCTAAACGGCATGAATATATATTCTCATTTACTCACCTACGTACCCTTTTAAAATAAAGACCTTCCTGACTTCTTTTTTCCTCTTGGTTTATAGAAGTTATTTTAAAACAAGCTTATTGCTAATTTCCAAAATTTCAGTTGATTATGGAGGGAAACAAATGAATTAAAATGTGCATACTAGATGTTTGGCTTCATGTCAAACTTTTGGTGAAAATTTAAACAGTACTATCATTTTTTTGTGAAAAGGTGCCAAAAGAGAGGTCATTTAAAAAATTATCAACCAATGTTCTTAATTTATCTTTGAACTACAATCATCTTTGTGATATACCATCCTGGGGTGAACTGGAGCTCCTATATGAATTACTACTGGTTATTAGTCTTGGTATGGTGCTGTAGAGTAAGCACTGGGATGATAACCATGAGTTTGATGGTTCAAACCCATCAGCTGCTCCTCGGAAACTCTACACAGGGCCACTATGAGTCGGAACTGACTTAAAATCACGTAACAACTTAGGCACCACATGTCTGTATTTAATTGTTTGTAGTGGTTGATTTCTTTCTATCACCAATCTACTTCTCACCTGTCTCCTTCCCTATTGAATCCTTTAGTTCCATATCTCTACAGAAAGCCATCTGGTAGAGTACAACTCTAGTTACTATCATAATTCAAATGCTCTCTTTTAATCTTAAGCATTCCTTGATCCAACAATTACGAAGATGTAATTCTGAATGCAAACCTAAATGAAATGTGCTAATGGTGAATGCAAAAAGTATCAAAATGTGAACAGAAGCAGGAAAGAATTCCTGATCAAAGAAAAATCCAGGTCAGTTCTTTCAACCTTTTAAAATACACCATAAAACTAAAAATGTTTTGCTACAGAATAACATTTTGGCTTTTTTTTATTATAGCAAAGAAGGGTAATTATGATTGTCATGAAAATATATTGAGCAGCTATATATGGTTAACAATATGAACGCTTGCAAAAACGGGCACTTTATACATTCACACTTCCTAGAAATTACAGTCTTCCCTAGTGGAGTTAAATACCGATAGGGACTGCTTTCTATTAATTGTGGCTATGTACCAGTTGAAATTTCAGAGCCAACTGGATCATCTGTCTTTTGGGACAATTCCCACATAATAATACACATATACACACATTGATTTATATATATTCAGAGTGTGCATTACATTTTGCAGAAACTAATTTTTGATTTCTCAAACTATAGATTTTTTTTTTGCTATCAAAAGAGTGCCAGTATCAGATTATCTCACAAATATTCATCTGTTTAGAAATTATACTAAAAAAAAGCATAACAAATAAATCTTCAGTTTATTTTACGAAGGCTAATTAATAGGTACTTACTCATTAAAGACTAGGTCTGGTGCAAAATAGAGAAATTGGCTGTTCGTATGTTTGTACGATCTCCAGCTCAAGGCAAATGATGATAGACACATCCAAGAATACTGGATTAGGGTAATTTGGTCCTCAAGAGGCAAGTTTTTAAATCCTGAAGAACAGAACAATTAATCACAGAAATGCACTTAGCATTTAAGTATATTCCAGGAAGAAGCTACTTAAGTCAACTCCAAACAGCTACCTTTTTCTAACAGACTCAAATCAGTTCAATAGTCAATTACAGCACACTCACCATGGTCTTACCTGTTACATGTTTTACTTTAAATTCACTCTAAATTCTCAAGGAGACTGAATAGCCAAACTGGAAAGCTTAGTGACAGTTTCCACATGGATAAGGTCTAAAACCCTTGGTCACATGGAAAGAATCTGTATTAACTTGCACAATTTGATTCATTCAAATAAAGTGCAATTTAGTAACTGTCAACACCTGAGGATGTGCAATAATGGCGGGAGATTTTAATTTTCATGAGTTTGTGTTGGCTAAAAAAAGTATTATTCCTTGTTTCTCATAGTCTAGGATAACACTGGATTTCAGCAATATTCTAAAGTAAAATAAGGATCCCCAACACTGACACACTGACCTCTCCTTCTCAAAGTCTTCCTGTAGGGACTTTGAGTCTTTTTTTTTTTTTTTTTGTCCCTTTTCTCACCCTCGGTTGGTGCAGTGGATTAAAGCGAATCCAACTCAGAGCTGCTAACTGAAAGGTTGGTAGTTGAAACCCACCAGCTGCTCTGTGGGAGAGAGAAGAGGCTGTCTGCTCCCAAAAGATCTGCAGCACCAGAAACCCTGGCACTTGTATTCTGTCATACAGGTCCCTCAGAGTTGAAATCACCTAAACGGTCGTGGATTTTTAATTCTGATATAGTCACAGTAGCATCATGCTTTTCTCCTCTTCATAAAATTTCACCTGGGAAAGTTCCTTTTCGAGGACTCGTGGAGGCTAGATATATCTTGTTTCTTACGGCTACGGGTTGAATAATAAGGTACACCCTGGTAGCATCATGGATTGTGAGCTGGGTTGCTAGCTGCCAGGTCAGCAGTTCGAATCCACCAACTGCTACATTGAAGAAAATTGAGACTTTCTGCTCTCGTAAAGATTTACAGCCTTGGACACGGTCAGAACAGACTCGGTTGCACACAATCACAACCACCATCACCACCACTGGTTGATAATAGGAAAGCCAAGAAACTGCATTGGATTAATGAATTCATAGAATAACTTTTAAGCTATGTTTCTATTTCCAGTTCTATTGCTGTCAGTTTGACTTTGACTCATGGCAACCCTATGTATGTCATAGCAGAATAGAGCTCCATAAGGTTTTTCAAACAGTATATCCAAGTCTTTCTTCCTAGGTACCTTGGGTGGACCTGAAACTCCAATCTTTCAGTTAGCAGTTGAGCATGTTAACTGCACCACCCAGGGACTCATATAAATTAATAGGGGCCTTGCATAAGTAAATAATAAAAAAAAAAAAAAAAAACAACCTCTGTAATAAAAGAACAAACAACTAAAGTAGAAATTTTAGGAACAATTAAAAAGACTGAGATAATATGTTCTGACCAGGTCTCATACAACTTACTTGATGTTGTTGTTGTTAAGTGCTGTTGAGTCAGTTCCGACCCATAGCAACCCTGTACAGGCTTTCCGAGGAGCGGTTGGTGAGCTTGAACTACTAATGCCTTTGTTTAGATTGTTAAGTGCCTTCGAGTTGGTTCTGACACATAATGACCCTGTATAGGGTTTCCGAGAAGTGGCTGGTGGGTTTGTACTGCTGACTTTGTAGTTTCAAGTTTGTGCAGATTCTAAAGTGCCACACCAGGAGTCATTCGTCCTGATTATATGAGCTTAAGAGAATGGGCTCAGCTTGCACTTTCACAAATAGAACATATTTTACTTAACTAATGTTCTTAGGATGAAATTTTCCATTTCAATCAATAGATATATGTGTTATATTAACAATAGAACACTTTACCTTGTGTTTTCAGAGGACATTAACACATTAACCAGATTTTTTTCAATTTGACTTCAGTTTAAAAATTTGGTATTAGGACTTAATGGAAAGTTATGGTGTGGCGCTGTAGGATCAGCCAAAAGGTTGGTGGTTCAAACTTACCATGTGCTCCTCGGGAAACCCTAATCATGGTTGCTATGAGTCGATATTGACTCAATGACACTTAACAACAACAACAACATCTCCAATAGTGCTGCTGGGCGTAGCAAAGTTTGTTGCCCTGAGTTGGATTAGTTCAGGATGCAGACCATGAGAGGAGAGGAAATCTTACCTGGAAGTACCTTTGCCCATTTCACAACTTGAATCATCTGTTTGCCTGCTAAGCGGTTCAGAGTGGAGAGCAGGTTTTCGGCTGTGTCTGGTTTTGAGCTGTCGTAGCCTGCATACACAATTTCAGGCTCGATGTTTTCCAGGATCATAACAGGCGAAGGCGTGAGTGCCCGTGAGATGGTGGAGAGCTGAGGAACCAGTGCCGTGTTGACTGAGGGCTCTTTTGCGGGAGCGATGTAGGTGGTTCCTTCCTCAGGACTCTGGGGTGGCGGGGGTGGCGGCGGCTGCTGCTGCTGCTGTGGCTGCTCCTCATGAATCCCTTTTAACTTGCCCAACTTCTTTGACTTTCGAGCTGTAAAATAAATAAATAAATAATATTTATACACATACAACGTATTTGGGATACTATAGACAGATAAAGTAATAGGGGTAAATTCAAATTATGTTTGGAATACACAAGTTAAATTTCAATCCAACATTGCCTTATATCAAATAAAGCATACTTTTCTTCTACTCTTCTTAAACCAATAGGAGCATTCCCTTTGAAATAGTTTTCTAAAAGAAAATGTATAGAAAAGTCCAATTTTTATTACGTGTTAACATTACTGCTGTTGTTAAGTGCCATCAAGTTGGTTCTGACTCATAGCGACTCTGTAGTAGGGTTTCTGAGGAGCGGCTGGTAAGTATGAACTGTCAAACTTGTAGCTTGCAGTCTAGTGATTATCCTACAGCAACACACTCATAAAATTAGGAGAGTAAATTCCTTCTTCAATTCATGCTACACATCTTCACGAGAGACACTCTACAGGCTGCACAGGACTCCAGCTAGTCATCTTCAGTAAGCTCTAGCCTTATGCTTTCCTTAACATGTGTTCAGCCTAGTGGTGGAGATAAGAAATGAAGCACAAAATTCTACTGTAGGGCATATAAAATAACGATAAAAATAATAATGAAAAATTTCAGAATGTGTACAAATATCAAGCACTGTTCTTAAAACAACAATAAACCAAAACCACTGTCACTGAGTTGATTCCAATTCATAGCAAACCTATATTGATAGTTTCCAAGGCTGTAATCTTTATGGAGGAGAAAGCCTTCCAACCTTGTGGGTAGAAGGCCAAAGCATAACTGACTACTCCACCAGAGCTCTATGTTGTTGTTGTTGTTAAGTGCTGTCGAGAAGGTTCTGACTCATAGTGTCACTGTATAGAGTTTCCAAGGAGTGGCTGGTATGTTTGAACCACTGATTTTATGGTTAGAAGTCCAGTGCTTATCTTACAACATTACACCAGGACTCCAGGGCTCTATTGGAGGTTTGTCGACTGCAGACTTACTTTGCAGTCCAGCATATTAACCCACAATGCCACACCAGGACTCCACAGGCTTTATATAAATTAATAATTTACTAATTTTTATGAGTAGGTAGTATTAGGATTATCACTTTATAGTGAGGAAATTGACATCAGAGAGGTTAAAAATCTACACAAGATAATTCAGCCGTTCAGTGTAAGATACATATAAAAGAGTTCAGATGAAGTACAAATTACTTCATATGCTAATTACATATGTCGCAACTATGTTGTCAAAACTAAGTATCATATGAACTCATAACTCCTACTTACTATCTATGAAAGAGCTGTCAACAAACAATGTCTAATTATGTATTATTTTCATGCTGTCTCTGCTCCCTCTAACTAGCTTTCCCTGGTCCCGGCTGGGCCTCTCTAGTGCTTACCTATCTTTACCTTGTTGCTGGTGAGCAATCACTTTCTTATGTATGGCATTTTATCCACATGCAATTAGCCCTGTGTATCCAGGTACATAGTGAACTGCTGAAACACAAAGACTGGGTGTTCCTGCCCTTTTACAACACCCACAGGACCTTGGAAATACTAAACTTAAAGAAAATGATTCATAGATTCCAACTGAATAAACGGGAGAGCAATCAACCTGAAAAGCAAGCCCTGCAACAAGCGGAGAGAAATTAACTCCAAATTGGACACTTACAAGAATTAATAATTACACAACAAAAAATTCAGGTCTACGTTATACCAATACACACCCTCCCTGCCTCTCTTCCCCCCAAATCAGCCTCTACATTTTTGTACATAAAACTAAACAACTTTCTCTTAAAGTGAATGGAAAAAATTGAGGAAGTAAAAGAGCTGAACAGGAAAGTTCAAAGAGCAGCTCAAGAAGACAAAAGTAAAGTAGTATACTTAAATGTACAAAGACCAAATCTACAGTTAGAAAACCAAAAGGGAAGACTATGCTTGGTATTTCTTAAGTTGAAAGAATTGAAGAGAAAAATTCAAGCTTTGACTTGCAGTATTGAAGGATTCTATGGGTAAAATATTGAATGATGCAGGAAGCATCAAAAGAAGATGGGAAGAATACAGAGTCACTATATTTAAAAAAACTGGTTGATGCTCAATCATTTCAAAAGAGACTGAAGGAAGAAGTCCAAGCTGCACTGAAGAAACTGGTGAAAAACAAATTTACAGGAATGGACAGAATATAAATTGAAATCGTTCATCAAAATAATGCAGCACTAGAGGCACTCACTCACCTATACCAAGAGATTTTTAAGAAAGCTATGTGGCCATTCCAATGGAAAAGATTCATATGTGTATCCGTTCCAAAGAAAGCTGACCCTATAGAATGCAGTATCATTGATACCACAGAGAACTAAGATTTTGCTAAATTAAAAAACTGTTGTAGTAGTACATTGACAAAGAGCTGTCAGATATTCAAGACAGTTCAGAAGAGGATGTGGAACTAGGGATATCACACATATCTTGGTTGAAAGCAGAGAATACCAGAAAGATATTTACTTGTGTTTTATTGACTATGCAAAGGAATTTGATTGTTATGATCACAACAAACTATAATACCATTTCAAAGATGAAAATTCTAGAACACTACATTATGTTCAGGTGGAAATTGTATATAGACCAAAGGCAGTCTAAACAGAATAAGGGAATAACTACAAAGTGGCATTGTAGATTAATTCGCTGGGCTGTATATTTGGTTTGAACCGTACTGTTGACAGTTCAAGCTCACCAGTCACTCCTCAGAAACCTGTATACAGGGTTGCTATGGGTTGGAACTGACTGGATGGCACTTAACAACAACAACATAGTTTAAAATGAGGAAAGTTGTGTGTCAGGGTTGTGTTCTTTCACCATACTTATTCAGTCTGTATGCTGAGCAGATAATCTGAGTCACTGGAGTATAAAGAATAGCATTAGAATTAGAGGAAGGCTCATTAACAACCTGTGATATGCAATGACACAACCTTGTTTTCAGGCGGCAAAGAGGGTTTGCAGCACTTGATGATGAAGATCAAAGTCTACAGCCTTCAGTATAGATTATAAATCAATATAAAGAAAACACTTCATAATTGAATCAATAAAGAATATCATGAAAAATAGAAACACAGATTGAAGTTGTCAAGGATTTCATTTTACTAGGATCGACAATCAATGCCCCAACAATCAGCACTCAAGAAAACAAAACATACAATATTGGGGAAATCTTTTACAAATCCCTTGTTAAAGCATTAACTTGCAAAGATTACACTTTGAGGACTAAGGTACACCTGACCTAAACCCAGGTTATTTTCAATTGTCTAATATGCAATGGAGTCTTGGTGTGGCACTGTAAAATAAGCACTGAACTGCTAACCGAATGGTTGGTGGCTCAAATCTATAAGTCACTCCTCGGAAGCAGTATACAGGGTCACTGAGTTGGAACTGACTCAATGGCACTTAACAAGAACAGCAATATGCATGTGAAAGCTAGACAATGAGTAAGGAAGATTCAAGAATTGAGATGACTTTGAATTGTGGTGTTGGTAAAAATTATTGTACACATTATGGATTCCCAAAGGAATGAACACATCGTAAATTTCCTTAATCTCCCATAGTATGAACATGTTATCAGGAGGGACCAGTCCATGGAGAAGCAGAGGGTCAGCTTAGCACAGGGTCAGCAAGAAAGAGGAAGACTCCAAATGAGACGGATAGACACAATGACTACAATGGTCTCAAACTGGCAATGACTGTGAGGATAGCAAAGGTAACTGTGCAGTGTTTCCTTCTATTTCACACAGTGTCACTATGAGTCAGACTGACTTGATGGCAATAACAGCAACACTGTTGTTGTTGTCAGACGCCATTGTGTCACTTCCAACTCACAGCGACCCTAAACACAACAGAACGAACAGTACCCAGTCCTGTCCCTTCCTCACCATCACTGTTAGGTTTGAGCCCATTACTGCTGTCATAGCACCAATTCATTTTGTTGGGGGTCATCTTCTTTTTCACTGACTCTCCACTCTAGAAAGTCCTTCTCCATGGACTGGTCCCTCCTGATAACATGTCAGAAGTATGAGAGAAGTTTCACCACCCTGGCTTCTAAGAAGCATTCTGTTACTTCTTCCAACACAATAGATGTTTGTTCTTCTGACAAGCTCATGGTATTTTCAATATTCTTCTCCAATACCACAACTCAAATGCAGCAATTCTTCTATGGTTTTCCTTACTCACTGTTGAACTTTCACATGCATATGAAAGTTGACTACTGAAAATACCATGATTTGGGTCAGGCACATCTTAGTCTCAAACTAGTATTTTTGTCCTTGAGCACTCTGAAGAGGTCTCGTGAACAGGTTTGCCTAATGCAATATGCCATTTGATTTCTTGGCTGCTACTTGCATGAGTGCTGATGGTGGAACCAAACAAAATGAAGTCTCTGACAACTTCAATCTTTTCTCCATGTATCATAATGTTATTTATTGATCCAGTGGTGAGGAGTTTTGTTTTCTTTACATTTAAGTGTAACCCACACTAAATGCTGTGGTCTTTGATCTTGATCAGTAAGTATTTTAAGAGTCCTTGCTTCCAGAAAGCCAGGTTGTATCATTTGCACATCTCAGGTTGTTAATGAGTCTTCCTCTAATCCTGATGCCACATTCTTCTTCATATAATCCAGCTTTTCAGATGATTTACTCAGCATACAGATGAAATAAATATGTGAAAGAATACAAGTCTGATGCTCACCTTTCCTCATTTTAAACAACTCAGTATCCCACTGTTTTATTTGAACAAGTGCCTCTTAGTCTATGTACAGGTTCCTCATGAGCACAATTAAATGATCTGGAATACCCATTTTTTGTAATGTTGTCCATATCTTGTCGTGATCCACATGACAAAAAGCTTCTGCATAGTCAGTAGAGCACAAGTAAACATCTTTCTGGTATTTTCTGCTTTCAGCCAAGATCCATCTGATGTCAACAATGATACCCTTAGTTCCACATCTTCTGAATCGGGCTTGATTTTCTGATAGTTC